TGATTACATCATAAAACTCAAACTGCCCACCGTGTGACATGAAACTCACGGAATCCTCAATAAATGATCGAACAATTCTACAACAGTCGGGGACTGTAGACGAAAATGGTGCCACAAATGGAAATGCAGGCATGATATTTGACGTCTGTAATTGAAATGAAAGAACATTCATTGAATACTCGTACTCCTTCTTCATATACATCTGCTCAAACTTATCAGCTGCAAGTGCCTCAGCAATCTGCTTACGACAATCAGACAACAGCAATTCATGATACTTGTCTCTATGCTTGCTCAATACATCAAGCAAAGCATCAATGGGGAACCCATATCTACGCATAGTGACACCAAGCAAACTCACATAATCCTTGATCAACAACAAATGATTAGCAGTATACATCCTAGAAAACTGGTCCTCTAACACTGAACACATTTTACTCACAGCAGTGTCCCACAGATTTTCCACCTCCATTTTCGATATTAACCCTCCTCCGGTCCTGAGAACCCGGTCCTCCACTATAAAAAACCCAGCAATTTGCGCAAAAAAAGTCTGATGAGACTCCAGAAAGGGGGTCATTGAAGATACCTGAAAATCTGAAGTTAATTGAAGCTTTCGGTTTTCAAAATAATACTTCTGGAACCTAGCCTCGAAACCAAGAGTCTGATGTATATGATAAGCCCTGTATAACGGCGTCAAATCAAAGCCATCCTCGCCGGATTCTACCATTCCACTATTTCCATCATCATCTTCTTCAAGCGCATATACGCAGTCTCTTGAGCTGAGTCGGCTCTGCTCCTCGGCTTGGCGCTGCTTGATTCTCAGCTCCTCTTCCCTCTGGCGTGCAGCGGAGGCTTGACCGATGGCTAGCTGACCCAAATTCCGACACACTATTCGGATCTCCACCAGCCAATCCCCAAACTCTTTGCTGACCTTCCTCTCTATGTGAGTCCGGATCGCCGGGATCTGCTTCTCCATCATTCTCTTCAAAGTGGACGATGGTGTTTTGTCAAGAAAATCCCTCTCGATCGAGTCCAAACACTTTAAGGCCATATAGAAGTTGCCTTCGCTTAGATGAAAATTCGCTCGCGAGCAAAGTTCCATCAACTGAACACAAATGTTAAGTGAACGTATAGCGAGAGCGATGTTTCTGCATTTACTTCTGGCTTCGACAAACGAATCTAGCGCAGTCAAAAGAGGAACAGCGACGGATTGGAGCTTGGCGTTAGAGTCATAGAGGGCGGACTTGAGA